GGTTTGAGCTTCGAAACGAGTCGATTTCTATCCAGACAGTCTGCCAAAGAAAATCTGAAAAAAGGCCATATTCAGTATTTGCACATAAGCACTATATGCCGAATCCAACCGGTCAATATAACTCACCCGTTGACGCCTTTCTGAGTTGATTCATGTCTTCTGGCGGAACTGAACCGTTACCGTTGACTGCGCCCTTTAACCGTTGCCTACACCGTTAAACTCACTCGTGCTGCCGTCTGTCGGGATTGTGGAAACTAGCTTCAGACTTCATTCTAATATTCAATGAAGTCAAAATTCTTCGAGTGTGGTGGAAGCGCCGATGCGCCTTCTTCATTGGTGTTGTCAGCAACTTCGTCAACATCTTCAAACTCATCTTCGGACAGCTCTTGATGGTCATCTTCAAATTCATTCGTTGGCTGCACGTCATCTGTATTGATCTCTTCAACTGCTGGAATAACTTCAGGTGCGTTACCCCTACCGGGGAACAACTACTGAAGTCTCCCTTCCCTACTAGGATTTCGAAAGTCGGAAATAATTCACGTCCGAAACCTTTTTCGAGTTGGAGAATACTTCTCCGTTTATTAATTAATCAATCGTTTTTATACTAAACCTATTTACTAAGTACATAATTTTTGGGCATTCTTACCCTCTCTACTCTCCCTAGCTGCGCGCGTCGCGAGCATATCTTTTTGCAATGTTATTATCACCGGTCGTTCACCGATCGGTTTTTTTTTTCATTTACTTCATATACCTCTACCCGTCATACCGTCGCCACCTAGATCCGAAGTGGAACCTTGCAAAAAAATGAATTTGTTGTTTTTACCGATAATTGCACTTCGCATCCAGGGCATTATTAGTCGCGTATGTCCAGTCAGCTGTTTGTAGTCCAAAGTCGAATGTGTTCTGTTTGAACTCCCCTAGCATGACATAAATTTGCTGCGTCTATCGAACTTCTCGCGGAACGTTGGCCCTCGTGGCTCTGCACAGGGATCACCATCTTCGAAGCTACTTCTTCCTCCAGCGATTTCTCTGGTGTCTTGAACGGAAAACTTGTCTCGTCGAATTTCACATCTCGTGCCACGAACATTTTCCTCGTTTTTGGATTCCACAGACGATAACCGGTTTTTGCGTAGCCCAGCATCACACTGCGCAAACCGGTTGGGTCCAACTTGCTCCTCTTTTGTTTCGGAACCCATGCAAATGACTGGCATCCGAACACTCTCAGTTTCCCAACATCTGGTTTCTCACCGTGCCAACATTCAGCCGGGGTACAGTTTTGTTTCAACGCTTCAGTTGGTTTGTTGTGTACACTGCATTCAATACTGCTTCGCCCCACATAGATTTCGGTGCTCCGGATTCAGTTAGCATAGTCCTGATTTTTTTTCACAATGGTCCGATTGAACCTCTCTGCTACTCCGTTATACTGTGGTGTATAACCAACGGTTGATTCAACTTGAATTCCTTGTTTCATATAGTACGCAAGCTAATCATTCGAAAAGTATTCTCTTCCCAGGTCACACCTCAAGTTTGCGATCTTGTTCCCGAACTTTGCCGTTGCCATGGCCTCGTATACTTTGAAGAAATCAAACACTTGGTCCTTTCGTTTCATCAAATATATAACAGCAAAATGAGTATAGTCATCGATAAACGACACGAAGTACTGATACCCATCTACTGTTTTCGGTGTTATCTGGCCGCGAACATCCGTATGAACACGCTCCAATGGTCTTGTTGTGCTCGGTCGACTCTTGTTGAATGGCAACCGGGTCATCTTGCTCTCTGCACAGGACTCGCAAAATCCACCTTTATTTTTAATTTCCCCGATTCCATCTACCATTTCGCTCTGCTTCAGGCGTCGTACATTCTTGAAGCTCAAGTGACCAAACCGTTTGTGCCATAGCTGCAACTCATCACCATCACCTTTCACAATGATGGCCGAATCTGATGTATAACGCTGCATCGTCAGGTAGAATAGATTCCCGCGTAGTTCCGCCACAGCTATTGTTTCACCGTTTTTGGACAACACTGCTCGATCCGGCTGGAATTCCACTTGGACTCTTGCTTTCAGTAACCGCGACAATGACAGCAAATTGAACTTGAGGTTCTTCACAAATAAGACGTTTCCAAAGGACAATGTCAGACTATTCTCACCCATGAACGTCTTCGTTTTCACTGTGCCTTATTTAGAAGCAATAAGTTTCTCACCTTGCTTGGCACTTTCAATTACCAGCGGTCTGTCGAATTAATTGAACTCGTGAAAATACCGCTCATCATTGGCCATGTGACGACTTGCTCCCGAGTCCAATATCCATTCAATGTCCAATTTCGACTTGTAGATCGCTTCCTGGGAAATCATCAACGCCACTTCTCTGGCTACGGGAACAGTTGCTACTTGAGCTCGATCATACCGCTTTTTGAACTTTGGACATGCACCCTTCTTGTCCCCTTGTTCACCACACAAAGCATTTTCCTTGAAACTTGGACTTTTCTTTGCTTCTTTCCGGCTGCAAACGCTGATCCTGATCCATCCGAGACACCATTGGCACATGAATTGTCTCCTCTTCCCATTCGTTTCTGCTCTTCGGCCAGCAAACGCACCTTCACCGTGTCCAACTTCAATTGATCATCTCCCAGGTTCTCCATAGCCGTGGTGACAACATCGTACGTCGATGGCAGAGAAATGAACAGTTGACTTACGGCATCTAACTCCGTGACAGTAGCACCAGCTCCCTTCAACTGGCGGACTAACTCGTCAAATTTTCGGAAGTGGTCCTTTAACGGCGTTCCTTCTTCCATCTTCAGCGTTGCTAAGGACCTCCGAATGTATGTTTGCACTGCAAAACCCTTCTTCGAGAACGTGCTTGCCAGGGAGTTACACATTTCCTTCGCAGTGTTCTTGTCACGCACGTACTTCAGATGAGAATCCGCGATGTACGCAACTAGAAGAGCCTTCGCCTTTTCGTCTTTTTCTTGAAAAGCTTTCCTCTGCGCTTCGTCAGCTGGTGCATCCTTCGTGATCATTTCCTTCACGTCGTGAGCCGACAACTGCGTTTCAACCCGGAACCTCCACACGTCGTATCCTTCACCAGTAAACTGGACTATTCCTACTTTCGCCGCTTGACATCTTCACTCCCGTCTTCTCCGTAATTCCGTAACGAACTCTACAAGTTCATTACACTTTTGTATTTAATTTAAACGTAAATATTTTTGTTTTAAACATATTTTCAATTTTCTTCAATTTTCAACATATGAGTTTAGAGAGTAGTTTTTTTAATCAAACGAAAAAAAAGTCGTATCCGTAAAGTAATGAGCTTTTTTTTTAGAATGTAATGTGATTAAATGTGAACATTTTCCATTATAGGGATTACATCACTTTGTCATCACACGGAAGTATTACCGAATTCTTTTTATTTTTTTTATTTACTAAAAGTGATTTTTCTTCTGTTTCTACCTTTTAGCTTTTGTCACTATTAATTCCACTCGACCCAGTTACCATTTCGACCTTTCGTCCATTCAACCAGATTTTTCATTCGACTTTATATCCATTACGGCCATGTTCCATTCGATGGTTCTTCCATTGACCTCTTTTCCTATAACCGGCAGGTTCATTTCGGCTGGTATACTGCCTATAACCGCATATCAGTCCCATATGGATTTTCGTCAATTTTGAGATAACAACGCTATCCACTATCAATTGACATCAACATTCATATTATGTGATCAAACTATGGACTTTGATCATGAAAAATATGAAAACAACATCAAGTCAGTTTGTCCCATCAAGCAAAGTAATCGCATATCAGTCCCATCCTGAAATTTAGTCGTTCATAGTTTAAGTTAAAGTTCTGCTTTTCGAATTGCCATATTTTTCGCTGATATAACAGAACAGAATGAAGCTTTGTGATAGATTTTAGCTTGAAAAAAATATCAATAAATTTACTATGATTTTTCAAATATTTACATGAGAATTGCACTTCGTAACTTCGACTGCCATTTTCTCAATGCCTACTTTTTCCAATGGGACTGATATGCGTTTATAGGCAGTATATTACTATGAGTGCCTGTATGTACCTGCATAGTGCTAACCTTCTGCTTAGTCCTCCTTGGCGATTTTCTATGGGAGTGAGACCGGCCACCGTGCTATCGTAGGATAACATTATTATAGAAAAATCAGTATCGCTGAAATACTCACCAAAACAAAATCTTAGGTGACCCTCTTTCGATTAAGGCTAGTTTCAAAATGTTCGGCTGGTCGGTATCAATCTCAAAATAAATAGAAAAGTTTCCTTTATCGCATGCTGAAGGATTTGGGAATTTAAATGACGCATATAAATAAATAATCTAGAGTAGCATACTATTTATTGACCCAGTACTAATTTCTCAACCTTTTGGTCCAGAAGAGAGAGGGATGCACATAACTGAGGTATCTGATAATTTAAAATCAAAAATCGCGCATGATTTTTTGATTTGATTTGTGAAAATCGAAAAGCAGTTTAATGTAGTATTCTATTTGTTATGGAAGCAAACAACGAATTATTTCATAATATAAACTGCTCAGGTCTCAAACCAAAATATTTACCTTCCAGTAGTCGCCTCAAAAAACACACTATTTAAACATGGTTTTTAACAACAATTCTTTAGCCTATTTTTTAATACTCCGGAGCAGAACGTAGGCATACATGTTTTTGTTCTGCAGTGAATTAGTACGCATTTGAAAATTTAATCTTCATTACAAATAAATTATATTTACAATAACTTACAATTTTAAACTTAGTTCCAACCATTACCAAATCACAATTCACATCAAACATAAACTCGAAGCATAATTCAAAGATTCAGGCAAATCGTAAAAAAAAACATCATTGAGTATTCCGTTATAAAACAAACAAAAAATCTTTATCAAGGAAATTATTTTCAACCGAATATTTTAAATTTGCCACAAAATCTTGATAATTCTCAAATCATGCCATGTTGTGCGAGAAACAATCTTATTTTTTTTATGTAATGAAATCAAACTATCAGTACAGTCTGAGTGATTGCATGTCATGCTAATATTAATTATCTCGTTCTGTATCAATTAAAGGTCAGACAACCGTTTAATGGTCGCCTTCAGCAAAATCTCTGTTTCCGGATCGAACGTCGATTTAATGCACTCACTGGAATAAAACACACCGCTCCTGGTATTGCTGATATCCTGAAAATGAACGAGATGCATTCATCGAGGTGTAACATAAAAAACCTTCCCACACTCCATACTCACATTCCATGCTTTGCTCTCCATCGAGTGAATTTCCGAGCGTGAAATCAACTCCTTCCCCAATATCTGGTGCAATCCGGCTTTCCGTATCACCACCTCCAGTGCATAATTTCGACAATCGGATTCGCTTCCCTGCAGCAGTGCGGAGATGAAGATATCCCCAGTAGAGCTGTAAGAAGTGGGATGAGCAGCAACAGAGAACATTACATGCATTCGAAAATGTAATTGTCGCATAAATCAAACACGCCTAATCACATCTCAACTATTGGTTGAATCCCGTAGGAGGAGACGACATTCAACCTCTTACTCTCGAGCTCGCACTCGCAACCACACTAATTTATGATGCTTACTTCGAATCCGAGATTAATTTCAGCCAAAATTTATGACCATCGAGAATCAACACCAGGCAAGCGTTGTCAACAGGTGCCCGTGGCGGAAGTGAAATCTCGGCCGATGCCGTCCCGAAAGAGATGATTGGCGTACAATGATGGTCGGTAACATGCTGCTCCAGAGCGGAAGCTGCAAATCAGATGGGAATTAGTGCATTAGAGATAGTGGAGTAGTCCTGGGAACAGAGGTGTGTGTTGGCCGTAGGAAGGCTGGGGGGTTGATAAAGGCAGTATTTCGAATTGTATCATTTTATTCAGAAGGCCGATGCCTTGTAACATATATAACTAAAGTTTCAAACAAATCTATGAGACAATAAGAAGCCTGCACACACCAGTGCAAAATGGGAAAATGGGCCCATTCAGTTACCAGTAGCAGTCCCATACTCCAGAAACAATTTATGTTCTACCCCATTTCACCGTACATATCATTGAATTACCGCCTATCCTTACCGTTTATCTTATCGTTACAATACTCGCCGCAAGGGCAGCAATAGGTCGTCTGGTGGGTAGGGACTGTGATTTGAATACCATTTTCCGGTATACTGGTCAAGCTTTCCGCCGAAACGTTGCACGACAACGATGAGGTTGCTCGCCTGACGCTCAAACTATTGCAGGATTCAGTAAGTTCCGGTGCCAAACGGTTTGCCGATGTACATCGAGGAATGGAGATTGTGTTATCGCGTCTGAAAGCACAATATTTTGGATTTATTATATCACAAGCTGGGGAAAATTATTCTGAATTATATTTACTTGAAAATTTCACTGGAAGATAACGAAAGCGATTTGCCTTTTAACCCATTCAGTTCTTCATGGGGATTGCAATGCTGCTTTTTACTCAGGTTATCCACCGATGAGGACTTCCCCATGATCTTTGCTAGGAATTTATGTGTATGCGAATGGATTTGCTTTCCCGCAGGCAAGTTTCCTTCACTGCGGAATGGAGTTTTCCTGGCACATTTTGCACCGAACAACCGTTCCCTCAGCTTTCCGTCGCTGCCTTCTGTTAGGTTGAACGCTTCGGTTATAGATTGGTAGACTTGTTCAGCCAACAATGACCTTCCAACGGTGTATTTCTCCCTACAGATCGCACATCTTTCCGACCGGACTCGACATCGTGAGCAAACAAGGTGACCATTTTGACACTGAAACACGGGAGGAGGAATAGTATCGAAGCAAACGGGACATTCTAATGCGGCTACAATGGTCTGCATACTGGCCGATAGTCGTTCCAGGTTGATTGGCATAGGACCACAGCAAAGTGATTCTGGATTGCAAGTGGGTTCCATGCCGGTGCTCCATAGTAGAAGGGTTACTATGTCGGTTTTAGAACGGACCATGTTGGCGACTTCTACGATGCGCATTCCGAGGACGTCTTCATTGTTTACCTAAACGCAAAAAAATGGGATTTTGAGTTTTATGAACAGTGTGCTTCGAGGGTCCGAATGGATTCAATCCTCGGTTCGGGCCATACAATTTTACAAACGTTTAAGGGTAGGGAGCATCATTATGCTTTGCCACACAATATACGCATAATATTATGCTTTTTCACATAATATCATCCCGAAGTTGTTTCACGTTTTTTGAGCAATTCTAGTAAGAAGTTTTTTAGTAGACGGTTCTTTTTTATTTATTTATTATTATTAACCAAATCAACTAAAACTTTGCACATTTTCAGTCAAAATATTAATCTTTGAAACGCCTATAATTTAACTAAAATTCGTTCACAACGAAAACAAGTTATAACAGTTTGATTTTATTCACCGTATACGGAAAATTTACAACATCAATTCAACATCCAAGATGGTGACTTCCGTTAGTCCAAATAGGTTCAAATACGCTATAATAGGCATTTACGGAACGGGGTTAAAAAACTGTATGCAGCAAAATGAAAAACCCTATGTTAAACAATTTTCATTTTCAGAGATGAGCAGCTCCTTGCCAAATAGCCAATAATTAACAATTTTTCTGATTTTACCTATCAGAATCCCATGAAACTTTGCAAAATTGTTCGCTAATAAACCAAGTTTGTACTGAGATTCTGCCATTTTGATTAACGCCTAATTTATAAAATTAACGGATTCGATATTTTCAATAAATTATAGCACGAAACCTGCTCATCTATGGCGGAGGCGAACCAGTCTCAGGCTGAAAGCTTAACTTAACTTAACCTGCTCATCTAATCAAAATGATGTGACAAAAACTTGTAGGAAAATGGATTGCCTTTTCAGAAAAAGTACACACTGAAAAAAAAAATCAAAAATTTTCGTCAACAATGGAAAAAAAACGGTTAGGGGCTGTTCATTAAAAACATAGACTGTTTTTTATTCTTGCCCCCCCTGCGTAGGCAATTTTCCATACACATTTTTTTTTAATTTTTATAGGCTGTGGATAATTGCAAAACCGCCCCCCCCCCCCTAAACTGTCTTCGTAGTTAATGAACAGCCCCATATTTAGCATTTCACACCAAACTGGATAAATAAGCGCATTTTCACTTATTAAAAAGTGTGATAAAAGTGAGTTTCCAACTAATCTTATCAGTATCTTCGGTGCATTTATTCCTTATAACGCAAGCAATAAGTGCCCCCAAGACACCAAAATGATTTGACGGATACGTGCACATTTTTCACACTTTTTTTTGCATTTTTGGGGCAGCCTTGTTTCAGATGCAATCAGCAATAAACATTTCAATAATTGACCAAAATCATGGAATAAAAACTTTTTGTAAAATGCTTGAACCACAGACAAACAGACATAGCACATTGAATATTCTCACTGTAAAACATCGTCGCTAAACCGCCATCTGTTGAGTACACTGTGTTGGGTAGTACACTGAACAGATGGCGGTAGTGTGTAAACGTCAAACGCAAGGGAATTGACTATGCGCGCCACAGGTGGCGGTACTACCAACTACGATACTTTTAAATTTACCGTTAAATGCTTGTTCTATGAACAACTTGCGAATGTTGTGTCTGTTTGTCTGTGCTTGAACTATTTTGTTCACGCAAATTTATATGATTTATGCATAGGAAACGATTTTCTGGGCTAAAGAAGATGTTTTCTGCATAAAAAACAACAAAAATTACTAGTGGAAAAAAAAATCAACATTTGTACTAATAGTTGATGCTTTACGATTTTGGCCAATTTTGAAGTACTAATTGTGTCCAAGTTAGGATTTTTAAAAACATTCAAATAAACATAAAGTTAAAAATCTTGGACTTGTCTTTGTCGGGAACAAAGTCAATTAAAAGCGTTTCAAAGATCAATATTTCGGATGAAATGTGCAAAATTTCAGTTGATTCGATTCAGTGTACTTCAAGAAATAACAGTTTGAAAAAGGGTAGTCAAATAAGAAGCGGTTAGCTAAAATAGCTCAAATTTAATGTATACTCATCTAATCAAGCGATAAACTTTACCAATAAACTTAGAATAGTTATTCAACAAGCGGCCATTATTATACATCAATCAGACTGATGCAAAATTTGAAATTTTTACTCCACAGTACTCAAACGGTTCCAAATTGGGTCCTGATTAGCCTTCCAAAATTTGAACTTATTTAGTAAGAAACTGACTTGTCACAAAACCTTTGAAGTTTGTATGGAAATTACTATGGGAAAACCTAACTTTGTGTTCATAACTATCTAACAATTCACCGTATCACACTGCTTCAAAAAAGTAGAAGGGTCAGTGCCTAGGAGTGAAGGAGCCGGAAGTTTGACGTAGGACCGCTAGTGGACGGAACAAATATGTTGATAATTTAGTTCCTACATCTTTCCGTTTTTGAATTGGTGGCCCTGAAAAGGGCCGGTTGTTTTTAAATGGTGGCCACACCAGTGCAAGTCGATGCCGACCGGATGACGGCGGCTGCCTATTGCGAGAAGCCTTTCCACCGGTCGATGTGGGTGTTACACTCATACCAACTGTTACACTCATACCAACAATCAATACGAAACTAACGATTTTAAATTGGCTCACTACTTGACTAGCCTATTGGTCCCAAGCAAACAATTAACGTATCCCATTCTAGTCGAAATTCTACTACTACACAATGTTTGTTTTGATTCGCTATGAAAGTTTGACAGATAAAATGAGGGGTTAGTGGATTTTCCTATGTTTTGAGGCGTGAATCGATTAGCTTGGGACCGAAGAGAGTACCAGAGCTGAGCCAAAACGTTGAGCACGTTATTTCGGGAGCTTCTAGTCTTAGAGTTACCTCTATGCTCATACGTCGTGTTCGACGCATATCCGTCCGTGGCTCGAAAGTAAGTGACGAAGAAAACGATTTGACAAGCGTTTTTATTATTGCTGCTTTTCTCCTCACTTCCTTTCATTGGTTAAAATATGAGCGGTCAACCGAGCATTGAGCTCGCTCATGTGAGCATGGGTAATGTGTCGTGTGTTCGATTTGTGCTCTATCGTTGCGTCTGTGTTTGGGATTTTTCGTTACATGTCTGAGTTTTGATTTTTTTAGTATAGAAATTAAAGGCGTAGTCCTACGTCAAAATGATAACTGTGCTTGTAGGAAATTTTCTCAGCTCCAACCGTTTAACGCTAAAATGTAAGGAACAAGAGTGATTTATGATTCAAGTCACTGATTTCTTATGGTTATGCACAATCAACTCATCAGCAGGGAACATTGGTGTTTCTGGCGCGTAGAATAGAGCACAAACATTGCTACTATGTCACACTGCACAATACAGTGTTGCCCCCAAAACAGCTACTTGATCCTGTTATCAATCTCCTAAACAGTTAATAACTATTTAATTTGACATTTGGCTGAAAAAAGATCTTGCCCAAAGTTGTAGCTGAGATAAATTCCCCTAAGCATAAATGTAGAACTTTTTAAATGTGTGATAAAGAAAAATACTAGAAGACACTGAACAAAAAAATTGGTTTGTCCATAGTAACTCCCATATAAGTTTCAAATGGTTTGTGCCAAGTCAGTTTCTAACCAAATAAGTTTTGGGAGGCTAATCAAAACTAGATTTTTAACCGTTTTAGTTATAGTTAGGCACAATGGACATAAGGCATAAAATCTCAAGCTCACGTATTTCAAATATACTTCCTGCATCTGAGTAGTTCCATTCCAAAAAGCAAAAACAAATGGATTTCAAACGCGACCTCCTCCGATTTGCATGAAACTTTGCATAATTGTTTGTTGTGAGAAATTATTCAAATGTTTGCCACTTTTAAGCCATTTTGAATGTTTTGAAAAAACGTGGATGTTTGTTTTTTTTTAATACATAGCACGGAATCGTGACTGCTAATCGAATTGACGGCTGAGAGATAAAATAAAGCTTTTGTAGAAAATGTACACACGGTAAAAAAAATTTAAGCAGAAAATATCCCTCCCAACTATTTTTTAAATATTTTTCAATTAAAAACATACGAAAAATGTTATGTTTTATGAATTCCCAAAATCATAAAACAGCAAGTTTTGTAAAAAATAACTGTTACTTTTGATACAAAAATTTTGACATTTTTGCTCAGAAAATGGCAACTATGAAAACGTAATATTAAAACGATGAAATGCTCTAAATCCTGAAAAAAATGCTGTTTAACTGCGTAACTACTCAGATTTACTGTCCTGTCTGTGTCTATTTTAGCCAGATGAGCGGAGTGACGGGCTATGAAGCTTCTTTAAGAATCTTCTTAAGAAACTGCACGTGGAAGCCTCTGTTAGAATCTTCTTAATGGGAAGCATACCGCTCCAAAAAAAAATGAGTCTCGATTTTTCTAAAATTATCGGGAAAAGATATCAAAAATCTAAATAAATTACATTTTTTCGAATTTTTTAAAGAAACCTACCTGATACCTGATGGGTGACGACTCGTTGAATTCAAATCTGCGCCGAACGAAGTAACCGTCTCCATTGGTCTCGGTCCTGAGCCAATCGCTTCCAGTCGCCTTGGACGTTCAAGGACCTAATGTCCTCCTCAACTGCACAAACCCAACGCGTGCGTGGCCTACCCCGAAGCCGACGTCCTCTTCCGGGTTCCCTGCTGAATATTGACTTCGCTTGACGCTCTTCCGGCATTCGTGCCACATGCCCAGCCCACTGTAGCCTGCCGTGTTTTATAAGCTTCACAATATCCATGGCGTTATATACTTGGTACAACTCGTGATTCATTCGACGCCGCCAGATGCCATTTTCCAGTTTACCGCCGAGTATTGTTCGCAGCTCTCCGATCGGCCTCTTTCAATGCCCACGATTCGTGGTCATAAAAGGCTACCGGCAGAATCAACATCTTGTACAGCCCAAATTTCGTTTTCGTACGCAAGCTGCGGGACTTCAGCTGGCTACGCAACCCGTAGAAAGCCCTGTTCGCGGCTGCAATACGCCTTTTCACCTCGCGGGTAACATCATTATCGCACGTCACTAAAGTACCAAGATAAGCAAATTCGTCCACAACTTCAAATTTTTTGCCATCTAGCACCACTTCACTACCAACACCACTATTGCTCCCACGCTTTCTACCGGCGACCATGTACTTCGTTTTGGTAGAATTTATCGTGAGACCAATCCTCGCTGTCTCCCTCTTAAAAGGCGCGAACGCCTCTTCCACTGCTCTACGGTCGATTCCGATGATGTCGATGTCGTCCGCAAAACCAAGGAGCATGTGCGACTTTGTGATGATGGTACCGTTCCTCTGCACGCCAGCTCTCCTAATCGCTCCTTCGAGGGCGATGTTGAATAGCAAGTTCGAAAGAGCATCTCCCTGCTTCAACCGAACGAGGCCGAAATCTCGTCTGCAACCCGTACACATGATTTTGAACCATCAAGCGTTGCACGAATCAGCCTAATTAGTTTCGTCGGAAAACCGTTTTCTTGCATTATCTGCCATAGCTCGTTTATCTTTACTGAATCGTACGCTGCCTTGAAATCTATGAACAGATGATGAGTCTGCAAGTTGTTTTCCCGGAACTTCTCAAGGGTTTGACGCAGGGTAAACATTTGATCCGTCGTTTATCAGCCTGGTATTCACCGACGAAGGATTCCTCAAGCGGTCTCAATCTGTTGAACAGAACACGTGATAATATTTTGTACGCCGAATTCTGAAGCGTGATTCCTCTGTAATTGGCGCACTCCAGTCTGTGTCCCTCCCGAGACCATCCAACCAACTAGTGGGCAATTACTCCTCCTCCCATATCTTGAGCAGTATACGGTGGATCATCTGGTGCAGCTGCTCACTTCCGTGTTTGAGAAGTTCGGCCGGGAGCTCGTCCTTCCCCGCAGCCTTACTGTTTTTCAGCTCTCGTATCGCCTTTTTCACCTCTTGTAGCGTTGGTGGTTCCACAGCTTGACCATCGTCGTCGATGTGTGTTCTGTTTGTAGATGCTTTCTCGTTCTCTCCGTTCAGCAACGTCTCGAAGTACTCCTTCCACCTGGCAGCTACCATCGTTTTATCTGTCAGCCGATTACCTTCACGGTCATTGCACATGGCGGGAGACGGCACTGTCTTACTCCTCACGCCATTGACAGTTGCGTAAAACCTTCGCATATCATTCTGCTCCATACTTTCTTGCGCCTCAGCAATAACGCGTTCCTCGTACTGCCTTTTTTTTCCTGCGATGGGTTCGTTTCTCGGCTGACCTTGCTACCCTGTACCGCTCTCTGTTCTGACGGGTACCAGACACCAACATCCGGCTTCTGGCGACGTTCTTCTCCTCTGTCACTCGCTGGCACTCCTCGTCAAATCACCCGTTCCAGGGGCGCCTCTGATCTGTACCTATCACCGCTCGTGCTGTTGTGCTTACCGCTCCGTGGACAGCTTCCCACAGATTGTTGAGATTCTCGTTCACGTTGATTTCCGCTATCCGTTCATTCAGCTTCTGGTGATACTCTGCAGCAACACCATCTACTGTCAAACGCTGGATGTTGAAACGCATCGATCTCCGGTTTCTCGAATTCGTAACGGTCGATAGACGCGCTCGAATTTTCGCAACAACGAGGTAGCGATCCGAGTCGTATTAGGACCCCTGAAGGTCCTGACATCTACGACATCCGAGAAATGCTGACCATCCACCAATACGTGGGAGCAAGTTTCGCCATTAGGGTGTATCCAGGTGTGCTTTCGGATATCCTTGCGTGCAAAGTTTGTGCTACTGATGGCCATATCACGAGCAGCAGCGAAGTTTATTAGCTTCAGGCCATTATCACTCGTTGCAGAGTGAAGGCTCTCTGTTCCAATGATTAGGCGAAGGAATTCCTCTCTTCCGACCTGCGCGTTTGCATCTCCGATGACAATCTTCGCGTCGTGTTTAGGGCACTCATCATAGGTTTTATCCAGGCTTTCATAAAACGCGTCCTTCACGTCATCGGATTTATCGTAAGTCGGTGCGTAGATGTTGATCAGGCTGTAATTGAAGAATTTGCCACGAATCCTCAAAACGCAGATGCGCTCGCTAACCGGTTTCCATCGCATAACCCGCTTCATCTGTTTCCCAATCACTACGAAACCAACTCTGTGTTCTGCTCTATCGCCATCGATGTAGTAGATATGGTATTTGAACGATGTGTTGGCGATAGGATCTGCCGCCCTGAATTCACGTTCTCCAGATCTAAGCCACCGTACTTCTTGAATAGCAGCCACACTCACATTCACCTTTTGCAGTTCACGGGCCAGAAGGCCCACTCGTACAGGTTCATTTAATGTTCTGACATTCCAAGAACAGAGTTTCCATTCATTGTCCTTATTTCGTTCCCTTGGGTCAGTTGCCGAAAATTCCGTTCGTTTTTTCTTCTTCTTACTTCATTTTTCTAAGTATTTTTATAATTCAGTATGCTACCCTACCAAGGTCGCGATACCTACATCGTGTTGATGGGGCTTCCATCTTAGGTTTAGTTGACACGATTCAACATTTCATGTTTCAGCCGCTGGATGCCAGACAGACGCTGTTTGAGCCGCACCTCCTGGTGGACAGACGCTCGGGTTATTGTGTAGATGGGGCTGCCATCTTGCATGATTCAAAATGATACACATGTGAATGAGTTCTCAAAACAAAAAAAAATATGCACGGTTGGATGCAAATCATAGAAGATCGCTGAATTTAGCTTGAAACTGGTCAACTGTAAACTTAAAACTAGATAATCAGGTTGCACTGAGTTTACCAAAGATGAAATTCACGCTAAGTGACAAATCGATCAATCTTTACCCTCTCTAAATTCCATGAAAATTTGCATAATTATTCAATAGGGTTGAACCAAGTTTGTACTGGAATTTGACCATTATGACTAGCGCCTTATTTTTCAAATGGCGTTTTCGATATTTTTCTATAATTCATAGTATGAAAACGACTCTTCTTATCGTAATGCCGTCAGCGACAAAATTGACATAGCTTGGTATATATCTTACAGGAAAAAGTCTCAGTTTTCAAATTACATGCTTAGGTTTTAAATTGATGAAAGGTAAGCTTAAGTGTTTCTTCGAAAAAAAAAATCAATATGGCGGCTAATTTCAATATGACCGTCAAAATATCTAAACGTGCCACATGAAAGCTCCGATGTTTCCATCTCGAATGGTATGCAATTATTAGTATCTTTCAGAGATTTATTCATTTAAATCATCAAATATTATAGAACCTTAAAAAACAACCGAGAACGTGTTAGGGAAAATTGCTGAACCTTAAAAATGATTAGGGTGGGTGAGCCAGTAGTGGAGTTACTGAGCCAATTTATTAATTGAACAATAAATATACGATGTACACACAATTTTCAACCTCTATTTCGATTGAAAAATATTATACAATTTTAGAAAACTCATCCTCCATTAATAGGACCACTGTTCCAGTAGTTGTGGCAGTTGCTAACTTTGGTTCCTATAATAGTGGAATGCGTTGATTCAGCTACCGATGAAAAATAATCTTATCCGGGTCCTCCTCACTATTACAGCACAACCTCCATACCGCAACTTTAGGTACACCACTATTACTGGAACACCTACCCTAGACTAGACTAGGGTCCCTAGTATTCTTTTTTTTTTCATTTATTGACCAAAATTGTGAGATTTTTTAAAAATTTACATTTTTTCCTGAAACGGCATTCCAGTTTCCTTAGAAATTTTGATTAGAAGAGGCTTTTTCGTGCCATGATTTATTGAAAATATCTCATTCTTGACACTTCTGAACTAGATACGCCTTTGGGCTCTCCAATGGAAAAACATGGCATACTGGTAGGCGCTCACATCGATCAGGTTATTGCTACATTGGAGCCCACATCATCTTACCTCCAACACGCAGTCGCCGGCCTTCAAGCCGGTCACTTCAGCCGGTGATTCTTCGTCAACTCTACTGACCTATAATGGCAATGAAAAAAAAAAGAATAAGAAGATGTAGAAAACGAGAAACGTAAATAACATTGCAGCATTGAGTCACAGCAAGGCGTCGAACAAGAAGGAAGCAAGATAAACATCGGCCCCATTCATCTGAGGCGAGCTGAATGAAATCGAAAACATCATCAGACACACCATAGCATTTCGATATGAGTCGATTGTATTTTTTGTATAGGTTAGCAAAAATGGTACAGATTTAAGATTTTCAACTAAGTTATAAGAAACCTTTAATTAATAAAATCAATCTTAAAACATTCGTAGCACATGGATGCATCAATGTAAAGTTTAAAGCGGTACCTGCTTAAAAATATCAACAATGAGTCGAGCTAAGAACATTGAAACTGCCGTTAGAAGCGAAACATGTCAGCACCTAACTTGTAAAAATAGATGAGTCTTGGACATTTTTTTACCATCACACAGACCCAGAGGAACAATCGTCATGGTCAAGGACGTCGTCGTCGTCGGTTGGGTTTACCGTTTAAACTGGATTTGTGCGCACTGATTTTCTTTCTTACACGTTTTCGGTTACTCATCGACTATAATAAGTTAGCAAAACCGACAAATTTATTACTCACGCAAACATTTTGCTTAGGGGCAGTCAATTAGTTCTCATTTAAAGAAGATGTCCCATGGAGAGATAATAAAGAATCTAATCTAATGAACATGTTACCAAAGGTGTATACTAATTGGCATAGAGTAAGATGGGGCAAAAACAAGCGCTGTAGTTGAGTAAGAGTGATACAATTTTAAGGAGACTTTTTTGTCGTTGCTACCAAAACAAGACTTTTCAAAACGTTGATTTTACCGCATTTCCTGTTTAGTTATTTCGTCTATAGAAATGCTAAATTACCATCGATCAATAAATTGCATGTCGCATTAAGTTCATTTGTAAGATTGGATAATTTTACCATTGTGCAGTGACGCTATTGTAACCGATGAGGTACAACCGAGGTGCGACTATTGCCAGTGTTTTATTTAAGTTTATTTTGTAGGCTCAAATGTCGTAAATACAACAGAGCCGATAACAATGAATACAAAAAAAAATATAGAATGCATATTATTTTCAGTTCTTCATCCTGGACGGTGACTATATTGCGGTTTTCGTCCATCCTCGCGATTTCGTCCTTTGATCTTCTGTTCCCCTCTACTTTACTTTCTTGTATCTTTCATAATTCTTCTAATGGACCTCATCTTCCATAAGACTTCTTAAGGGGAAGTTTACCGGCCCGAAAATAAAAAAAAATATTTTCGGTGCGTTTTCATTTTTCAAAAAATATTGGGAAAAATTATCACAAATCCAAGAAAATCAGCTAAGTTTTTGTCAAAAATTACATGCAAAAATATTTTTTTTCTATCTCACCATAAAAAATGAGACCCTCAGCAAAACCGAAAAGTCGATGTTTTGTGGTTTTTTGAGTTCAAATTTACGCCATAAATTTTCTTTGAAAAATTAGAAAAAATTTGATTTTTTTTTTTTTGATTTTTGATACCTTTTTTCAATATTTTTAGAAAAATCAAAACGTAATTATTTTTTTCAGAGCGGAGAGCTCCCCCTTAAGAACCTCATCATTCGCGTACTTAAACCGGGTTTTTGCTGCTTTTTCTCTATTTCATTTTCACTCGATTGATCTCTGTTGCTCTCCTCGGCCATTGGGGATCAAGCACCTCTACCGCTTCATCGTAATGGTGCTACCAAAGCATAGGAAAATTCATTCACTCGTGCGAGCACCACAGAAACAAAAAGCCATCCTCACCTACAAACCAAATTAAATGTGTCAATTTATGTATAAAGCTAGTAAATAAAACGTGATTCCTTCTGCAAAATGCTTACTCACAGAAAGCAATCGGAAAAGGCTCAGCTTGCAACGAATAATAAGTGAGGAATCATCCACACTACTACACTCAAAATCATTCATGTTACGCTCAGCTGTATTTTTTTTTAACTCTTTATTTGTTTCAAATTCAAAATAAATTACATTTAATTTTAACCTAGGTGCTCTACTTACTACAGTAACTTACCAGCCTTAATTGTTATGATATATATCTAAAGGGTGTCCACGATGAAATTGCCACACACAAAATTGATTCGCAAAATTCGAGTTTTCATCCGATTGCCATCAAATTTTCAGGGATTGAGAAATAACTATTAAACTTCATTTTACCATTTTACTCGTATTTTATTTACAGTCCATACGCAAATGCCCGCACCTTGGCCTTAACCCCGGCCATAAGATTCTGCACAACCTGTGAATCAACCGTTTTTTGCATGTAAACCCATACTTTCTTCAGTTCCTCGACTGTCTAAGGTAGTGATTAGGTCGTTTAAGAAGGTGCTGCTTCATAATCGCCCAGTACTTCTCGATGGGGCGGAGCTCCGGAGTGTTGGGAGGGTTGAACATTTTCGGCACGAAATTGACCTTATTGTCCGCATACCACTTCAGCACGTCCTTGGAGTAGTGGCATGAGGCCAAATCCGGCCAGAAGATTGTTGGGACGTTGTGGGCCTTCAGGAGAGGAAGCAGCTGCTTCTGGAGGCACTTATTTATGTACACCTGTCCTTCTTAGCCACATCCCTAACGGAGGCGTTCGGATTTCGGTTGAAGGCCCCAACTACGCGGTTGTGATTTTTGGTGTTGTACGGAATACTTTTTCCTTCACTTCTGGGCTTCCGATCGGTGGTCAACCGTTCCTCGAACCGCTTAATCACTCGCGACACCGTGGAATTCGCGATTCCCAACGTTTTAGCGATGGAACGATGCGAGAGATCCTTGTTCTCGTGATGAATGCGCAAGATTTTATTACGCACGAGCTGTTCTTTCGACTCCATTTCCGCGAGTTTTGATCACAGGACTTTAAAACTTGCAGGATGTAAATAATGCACTATGAACTAAATCCACCCAAATTTTCATTAAATTCTACCCAACGGTTAAAAAGTTAGAGCAATTTCATAGTGTGGCAATTTCATAGTGTGGCAATTTCATCGTGGACACCCTTTAAGTATTTTTACATTGTTCCTGTCTTGGCAATTCAGTATTTTAAACAGGTTTTTTAAACCTGCATGTCAGTATAACAATTGATATCTTAAAACTAAAAACTAAAACTAAATCTTATCTAAGTATAAAGAGAATTAATCGTTGCAATTGAGGATTGCAAGGATTTTTGCCTGAAATTATTAATTATTTTGTTGGACATCTGTTCTAAATTCTCAACATTTGGAATTCTTTGTTTTTCGGTAGTACTATACCAGGGAGGCAACTTCAAAATCATCTTCAGAACTTTGTTCTGAATCCTTTGAAGTGCTTTTTTCCTGGTAGTGCAACAACAAGACCATATTGGCACAGCGTAAAGCATGGCCGGTCTAAAAACTTGTTTAAATATTAGAAGTTTATTCGTCAGGCAAAGTTTGGATTTCCTGTTTATAAGAGGATACAAACATTTTATATATTTGTTACATTTAGCTTGAATGCCCTCAATGTGATCTTTAAAAGTTAAGTTTTGGTCAAGTATTAATCCAAGATATTTCACTTGGTTTGACCAGGAAATTGGAACTCCGTTCATAGTGACTATGTGACTACTACTATGTTTCAAAAACGAAGCTCTAGGCTTATGTGGAAATATTATAAGTTGAGTTTTGGAAGCGTTAGGAGAAATCTTCCATTTTTGTAAATAAGAAGAGAAAATATCTAAACTTTTCTGCAGTCTGCTGCAAATAACACGAAGACTTCTTCCTTTAGCGGAAATGCCTGTGTCATCAGCGAACAAAGATTTGTTGCAATCCTGAGGCAAATCAGGAAGGTCCGAAATGAAAATGTTATACAATATAGGCCCAAGAATGCTAACCCTGAGGAACTCCTGCTGTAACAGGTAGACGATTAGATTTGGAATTTTGATAATTTACCTGCAGAGTTCTGTCAGTTGAATAATTTTGAACTAATTTCATAATATAAAGTGGATAATTAAACTTTTTCAATTTAGCAATCAAACCTTTGTGCCAAACACTGACGAATGCTTTTTTCTATGTCTAGAAGAGCAACTCCAGTTGAGTGGCCTCCAGATTTGTTTGAACGAATTAAATTGGTAACTCTTAAGAGTTGATGAGTAGTTGAATGCCCATGGCGAAATCCAAACTGCTCATCTGCAAAAATTGAGTTAGTATTGATGTGAAGCATCATTCTATTAAAAATTATCTTTTCAAAAAGTTTACTTATTGAAGAAAGCAAACTTATTGGACGGTAGCTAGAAGCTTCCGCTGGATTTTTATCCGGCTTCAAAATTGGAACAACTTTTGCATTTTTCCATTTATCAGGAAAGTATGCCAAATGGAAACATCTGTTAAAAAAATTTACCAAGAAAGACAAGGTACTCTCTGGGAGTTTTTTAATGAGGATATAGAAAATTCCATCATCACCTGGAGCTTTCATATTATGAAACTTTTTAGTTATAGACCTTACTTCGTCCAAATCAGTCCCCAGGAATCATCAAAAATATTTTCCCGAGAGAAAATGTTCAGATAATCCCGAGCAACCTGATTCTCAATAGGACTAGTAAGACCCAAACTGAAATTATGGGAACTCTCGAATTGCTTAGCAAGTTTCTGAGCTTTTTCCAAATTTGTGATCAAAATTTTACCACCTTCTTTAAGCGCTGGAATTGGCTTTTGAGGTTTTTTAAAATTTTTTGTGAGTTTCCAAAAGGTTTGGAACTCGGGTCTAATTTAGAAACATTATTTTCAAAACTTTGTTCCTCAGGGCAGAGAATCGTTTTTTAATTTGTTTTTGTAAGTCCCACCAGATAACCGGATCAAGAGCTGAAGATCGTCGTCTATTATAATTGAATCGAATTTAACCTCGCATTAACGCTCAGCTGTATGTTTTGCTCAATTCTGCGTTCATTGAAGAAAATAGAAGCAATGAGAATACGAACGTAATCAGTGCAACTCGCACAAGCTACTACTCGTTTCTGAT